AACACCTTGATCAACGAATATTGACTAATGTCTAGTAGCTTGGTGTTAACTAATAAAGTAATAAGTAATAATTCTGTTTTAAACCATATTTTATAGTGATYATTGTTTAAAATAAATGAAAATAAACAAAGATGGGAAACACATCAAGTTTAAAGAACCATGTTGAAACATCCAGAAAAACGGGTGTGTTAAATTTGTCAGATAGTCATCTTAAACAGTATCCAGATTCTATTGACGTTCTTCATCCTTTTTTAAGAAATTTAGAATTGTCTAAAAACAAATTAAAAATATTACCGAAATCTATTGGCCAATTCAAAGAACTAAAGATACTAAATGTCAGCAACAACATGTTAGAAAATCTACCTGAAGAAATAAATTGCTTGTCAAAGATTGAAACATTACAGGTGAATTGTAATTTATTAAAGTCATTACCTCCAATGAATAATTTGATGTTTCTAAGACGTGCCTCGTTTGCAGACAATCAGCTCACCACATTTCCAGAATTTTTGTGTGAATTAAAACATTTAGAAACATTAGATTTATCCAAAAATAACATCACTCAATTGCCTGAACTTATTAAACAGTCCAGATTAGTTGAACTAAACCTAAATCAAAATCAAATTAGAAAATTGCCATCTGGTTTAGCTCAATGCCTCAGATTGAAGACTTTGCGCGTAGAAGAAAATTGTCTTGAACTGGATGATATTCCAAAAGAATTATTAACATCGTCTAAAGTGTCATTATTATGTGTTGAAGGCAATTTATTCGATATGAAATCTTTATTGGCATTAGAAGAGTATAGCACATACATGACAAGATACACAGAAGTTAAAAAAAAAATGTTCTAATTTATTATTGATTTTCTATTTGTATATAATTGAGTAATTTACATTACCTAAATCATTATGCAATGTAATTTTATTATTTATTGTTCCAAAATTAATTGTTTACTTGCTTTTTGTTATTTTATATCAACAATCACATAACGATCAACTATGCACATTATTCATAACATATCWTATGGTGATTTTTTAAAAATTTAAATCACTTTAACAGTTGTAGAAGGGGGCCACTAATACCTTAAATGTAGGTTGTGAATAATGTCTATTAATTTAAAAATTATTATAAGTTTATAAAAAATAGTCTCACAATATTATGTAGCAATAACTCAAAAGTTGATGTTATTAGTTATTAATTATTACTTTATTTTAGCACTAATTGCAAAGACAAATAATCATTGAACTYTTAAAAAGTACATTTTCTTTATTGTGTGAATTATTTTTAAAAGAAAAAAAGATTATTTTCATTTTAAGAGTTTTTAACTGTATTAAATATTATCCTAAAATATTTATCTTTTTATAAACAAATGTAAAAATAA